ATTTCCCAGCCCCCAAGAACTTGTGAAATGACACCTGCCTCCCCTCCCCTGTCGAGGTGGTGACACACATTGCACCACGTGCAGAACCCCCGGCTTGCCAGCTACTCGAGGAACCTAAGTTTCCAGTCCTCAGTGTCAATAGATTAGATTTTCCCCCCCAGGGGAAAAAAAAGGCAACCATGAAACTTGCTGTCAAGCTTTGCTCACGAAACAGGGGGTGTTGTGTTCCGACGTGGGTCTGCTGAGCCCTTCGGCTTCTCTTTCACCTCTCCAGCCCGGAGGAAGCAGGACGCTACTTGGAAACCTATAAAGCCTACGAGCAGAAGCCGGCCGACTTGCTGAAGGAGAAAGTGGACCGGGACTACCTGTCGAGAGTAAGAAACTCCTTCCCACCAGCCTCAGCCGTGTTAGCTAGGGAGCCGCAGGCCTAGATCAGACTCATTTTCCCCAGTGGCTGATTGCCCCCTTTTTATTCCCACTCTCACACACAGAGGGCCCTTTCCAACTCTTGGGTAACAGGTTGTCAGCATCTATTTCCTGTCACAAACTTGACATGAGCCAACAGTGTGACACGGCAGCTAAAAAAGTCAATGCAATTCTGGGCTGCATCAATAGGAGTATAGCATCTAGATCAAGGGAAGTAATAGTGCCACTGTATTCTGCTCTGGTCAGACCTCACCTGGAGTACTGGGTCCAGTTCTGGGCACCACAGTTCAAGAAGGACACTGACAAACTGGAACGTGTCCAGAGGAGGGCAACCAAAATGGTCAAAGGCCTGGAAACGATGCCTTATGAGGAACGGCTAAGGGAGCTGGGCATGTTTAGCCTGGAGAAGAGGAGGTTAAGGGGTGATATGATAGCCATGTTCAAATATATAAAAGGATGTCATATAGAGGAGGGAGAAAGGTTGTTTTCTGCTGCTCCAGAGAAGTGGACACGGAGCAATGGATCCAAACTACAAGAAAAAAGATTCCACCTAAACATTAGGAAGAACTTCCTAACAGTAAGAGCTGTTCGACAGTGGAATTTGCTGCCAAGGAGTGTGGTGGAGCCTCCTTCTTTGGAGGTCTTTAAGCAGAGGCTTGACAACCATATGTCAGGAGTGCTCTGATGGTGTTTCCTGCTTGGCAGGGGGTTGGACTCGATGGCCCTTGTGGTCTATTCCAACTCTAGGATTCTAGATTCCTCCCCTGCCTGTCATCCAAATAATCCCAGATGGAAAAGGGATGGTGGTGGCACTGTTTTTAAGGAGACAGTGGCCGTAAGTCCTTGACCGCCACACGTATGACAGATCACCCTTTGCCCTGCTGTTCTTTGCCATCTCTAAAACCAAGCATCTCCCTCGCGTGCTTTTCCTGAAATGCTACTTGCATTCATTCCTCTTTGAAGTTTGCAAAATGAATAGAAACACCAACCATGAGCTTTGCAGGTCAGGTGCTGCAGAGCTTTCCACAGAATCAGAGAGTCATCTACCGCAACCCCTTGCAATGTAGGAATCTCTTGCCCCATGACCCTGAGATTAAGAGCATCCTGCTGTGCTGACTGAGCTATCCCAGGCTTGGCCAGTGTGGTGTAGTAGTTAAGAGCGGTAGTCTCGTAATCTGGGGAACCGGGTTCGCGTCTCCGCTCCTCCACCTGCAGCTGCTGGGTGACCTTGGGCCAGTCACACTTCTCTGAAGTCTCTCAGCCCCACTCACCTCACAGAGTGTTTGTTGTGGGGGAGGAAGGGAAAGGAGAATGTTAGCCGCATTGAGACTCCTGAAGGGGAGTGATAAAGCGGGATATCAAATCCAAATTCTTCTTCTTCTTCCTTCTCTCATTGCAGGTGACAGACTGCCTGACCAGCGTGAAATCGGTGAACAAGACAGACACCCTGAGTCTGCTCACCACCTTCGGAGTGAGTGCCTTTCCTTGGCGTGGGAGGGGCAAGTTTTCAAGAGAAGCACCCATTTCAAGTCTGGCATCTTATGCCCTTTGACCCAAAACACCCTTTAATCCCAGAAATGAGATATTCTGGGGGGACAGGACTGCTTCAGCGCTAAAAACACACTCAGGGTGCCGCCGCTCCCATTCCCTTTGGGAAACACTTCCTGTGGCCCTCCTACAGAACAGGGCTGGGGAACCTCAGGCCTGGGCACTAAATGTGGCCCTCTAAGCCTCTTCTAAAAGGGACGCGGGTGGCGCTGTGGGTTAAACTACAGAGCCTAAGGCTTGCCGATCAGAAGGTCAGCGGTTCGAATCCCCATGACAGGGTGAGCGCCCATTGCTCAGTCCCTGCTCCTGCCAACCTAGCAGTTTGAAAGCACGTCAAAGTGCAAGTAGATAAATAGGTACCGCTCTGGCAGGAAGGTAAACGGCGTTTCCGTGCGCTGCTCTGGTTCTCCAGAAGCAGCTTAGTCATGCTGGCCACATGACCCAGAAGCTGTACGCCAGCTCCCTCGGCCAGTAAAGCGAGATGGGCGCCACCTCAGTCGGTCACAACTTGACCTAATGGTCAGGGGTCCCTTTACCTTTACTCCTCTTCTGCCTGGCCTTCAGATCTCTTCCCAGCCCCCACCACCCATCAGCCCTGCCTCAAACCCTCCTTGAGCATTTCTGCCAGGCTGGAATGCTGCAATAATGCTTCTTTGGACGGGCAGAGAAGGGTGTGTGCATCTGTGTAGCAGCTAGCTCACTGTACAAAGGTAGTATTTGCATCCACCTGCCTTGGCCTCTGCTCCTGCCCGGGAAACATGGCCCCTACACTTGAAAAGGGTTCCCCAGCCCTGCTGCAGAAGACTTTGTGAACTCTTAAGCCCTGTTCTTCCTTCTTAGACTTGCTTTTTAACTTTTTAACTCTTGCCTTGTAGTCGCTGCAAAGCATCACCCAAGCTTCCAAGGAGGATCTGTCCCTGTGCCCAGGGATCGGGCCCCAAAAGGTACAGCTGTCCAATGCACAAATAGTTTTTCGTCGGCTTGTGGGAGGTCGAGGCCTGCCACAACGTCGTAGTCAGGTACTTTGCAAGGTAAAAGACCCCTTGGAGGTTAAGGCCAGCCAAAGGCGACTCTGGGGTTGTGGCGCTCATCTCGCTTTCAGGCCAAGGGAGCCGGTGTTTGTCCACAGACAACTTTCCAGGTCATGTGGCCAGCATGACTAAACCGCTTCTGGCACAACAGAACACTGTGATGGAAACCAGAGCGCACGGAAACGGAGGTGGGTAGCGCTGTGGTCTAAACCACCAAGCCTCTTAGGCTTGCCGATTGCAAGGTTGGCGGTTCAAATCCACATAATGGTTGTGAGCTCCCGTTGCTTGGTCCCTGCTTCTGCCAACCTAGCAGTTCAAAAGCACACCAGTGCAAGTAGATAAATAGGTACCGCTGTGGCGGGAAGGTAAACAGCATTTCTGTGCGCTGCTCTGGTTTCCGTCACAGTGTTCCATTGCACCAGAAGTGGTTTAATCCTGCTGGCCACATGACCCAGAAAGCTGTCTGTGGACAAACGCCGACACCCTCGGCCTGAAAGCAAGATGAGCGCCGCAACCCCAGAGTCGCCTTTGACTGGACTTAACCATCCAGGGGTCCTTTACCTTTTTTACCTTTATTTCGCAAGGTCTCCCAGGAACTACTTTTGAGGCCTCAATCTTCTCGCTCTCAGGACTGAAGGGGGAGAAAGTGCGAAATGGCTGGATTTGCATCCTGGGCTGCATTTCCCGTGGGTGATGCAGCGGCAGCAACGTAGCCTCGTAAGCCCTATCAAAAGTGACTTTAAGATCGGAAGGGAGTCAGGGATTTCATTGTGGGAAACTAAGTGTGCAATGACTGGGAGGCTGCTGCTGGTGGTGAGCAGGGAGCACGGCAGAAGCACCAAATCGCAGCGGGTAATAGGAATCTCAGGGCACAAGCAGCTAAGCTGTGGGCCTTATTCTGAAAAGTACACACCCCAGTCTTCAATGATTCTCAACTCAGAGCTGATTTACCGTATTTTTCGCTCTATAGGACGCACTTTTCCCCCTCCAAAAATGAAGGGGAAATGTGTGTGCGTCCTATGGAGCGAATGCAGGCTCCTTGGCTTCAGCGAAAGCAACACGAAGCCTCCGAAGCGCCGAGGGAGCGCTCCCTCCACGCTCCGGAGGCTTCGCGTTGCTTTCGCTGAAGCCTGGAGAGCAAGAGCAGTCGGTGCACACCGATCCCTCTTGCTCTCCAGACTTCGCTTCGCTGGAGAGGCGCTGCACAGTTTTCCCTCTCTGCGCAGCACCCCTTCAGCGAAGCAGGAGAAATGGAAGGGGCTCCGTTTCTTCTGCCACTTTGCTGAAGGGGTGCTGAGCAGAGGGGGAGAATTTTTTTTCCCTGTTCTCCCGCTTCTATGGTCAGGTGCATCCTATAGAGCGAAAAATACGGTAAATAGCAGCAGAAGCTGCTGCCTGATATCACAATAGACCATCTAACTGGCAGCAAGCTCTCTAGGGTTTCAGGCATCTGTCCTGTTGGGGACTGAGTGTAGGACTCTGATCTGCAGTGGCCCTTCCCCAAAGGCTTTGGGGTCTCCTAGGGCTGGGACTGCTTTGGGGAAGAGGGTGACAGAGAGAGCCTCCTTTTCCTTTTTTTTTTAAAGGGGGGGTGGAGAGAGGGAAGATGGATGGGGGTGGGGTCGGGTGGCGGTGTTTCTATTATGTTTAATGTGTGTAGAGTTTGGTGTCAGCGTTGAGAGCCTCCTTTTCCACTCACAGGTCCCCCCAGAGCAGCACCCACAGGAATCCCCACATACACATACGGAACATTTGTCTCCCCAATTTTCAATGGCACCCTTTTCTTCCAGGCCAGAAGGCTCTTTGACGTCCTGCACCAGCCGTTCCTCAAAGCACCCAAGTGAGCCGGGGCCTCTGTGGCGAGAAGACCAGGAGCACGTTCTCTGCAAGTCTGTTGTCTGGCGCCCCGTCCCCCCACCCCTCAAACTTCCCGGCTCAAAAACTCAGCGGTCTGCAGAGCCTTGAGGAAGCCCAGCAGAGCAGCACAACCTCCTGGAAGGGGACAAAACCTTTTATTTTTCTAGCAGCCAACAGCATTTCTCTTCTTCCCCACCCACTTTGCAATAAAACACCACTGTGTGGCAAAATCCACTCCCCACCTCAAGATTCTCCCTTATTTTTCTTGGGTGGGGGGAGCAAGCTTTGCTGAAAAAGAAAGTTTGGTTCCTGCTTCACAGCTCCTTATCTAATCCAGAGGCAGAAAATAAGGATCTGAGCAGCTGCGGGCAAACCAGGGACCCCTTCAAATCTCTGTCTCCTGTAGCAACCGGACAAGCTGCGTAGAGTTCGTAGAGGTGGAGGGGGACATTGTTCTCAGAAAAAGCAGGAGTTTTTGTCCCCACCCCAACCCCGCAAGATGTCCCCAACCTGAGCTGGAGGGCAGCTTTTCATTCCTGCTCGCTCGCCGGCTCCTCCTTCCATGACGCTTCCTCCTCCCTCTTGTGCTTCTTCTTTTTCTTCTTGTGATGCTTCTGGCTGAGCTCCTCCGCTCTGGGCTCAGAGGACTCCCCTTGCCACTGCCCCTCTCCTCCTTCTCCGGGTGGCCCAGAGGGGGCTTCCAGCTCCCCCCAACCCCCCAGCTCCTGCTTCACAGAGCTGGGCTCCAGCGACGCTGTCCCCCGTTCCTCCTCGGCTTTCTCCCTCTTCTTCTTTTTCTTCTTCTTGGGAGGGCTAAGCTCAGGCTCCTCTTTGACTTGTGCCAGGCAGGCCTGGGGGCTGCCCCCCAGGCTGCTTAGCTCCCTCCCCGGTTCGGTCTCGAGGCAGGCAGGGCCCACCAAGGCTGTTGGCACCGAAGCTGCCTCCTCTTCATGCCTCCGTTTCTTCTTATGCTTGTGTGCAGCCTTCCCCCCTGCCTGGGACCTGGGCTCAGCCTCCCCGGGTGCCACCACCCTCTCTTCCTCCTCTTCTTTCCTCTTCTCCTTCTTCCTCTTCTTGCTCCTGCGCCCCTCCTCCCCAGCCCCTTCCTCGGGGGCCATCTCCCCTTGCGCCACCAGCTCTTCGGAAATTGCCTCCGGACCTCGACTCGCCTGGGACTCCTCTTGCTTCACCAGGGGGTGCTCCTGGGGGTCCACCACCCTCTCGAGGGTCCGCTTCTTTTTCTTCTTCTTCCGGGGGTGCTCCTCGGCAGCTTCCTGCACGGGAGGGGGCCGCTTTGGACAGCCCCCAAAAGGCAGGAAGCGCTGCTTGAGGCCTTCGGGGATTTGGGGGGCCGGTCTGGCTGCCACAGGGAAGAGGGGCTGGTTGGCACTGGGGTCTCCATACCTCTCGCAAAAAGTCAGGGAGCTGCTGAAAGGGGGTGCGCAGGTGAGGAGGTCCAAGTGGCCTGATGGGACGAGCAGGCGGGCACTGCTGCCCCGGTCCCCTGGAGTCGCTTGGACATGGTAAACCTTCTGGGTCCCGTCCGACTGCGGCGCCTTCAGAATCTGGAAGCCCATGAGGGGCACGGCGTGGCCTTCAAGGCTGCGGGGCAGGAACCAAGGAACATGTTGAGAGAGTTAGCCATGGAAGAGAACACAGATGCAACAAAGTATTCATAAAGAGACCATATAACACCGGTCTTGAAAGACCTACATTGGCTCCCAGTACGTTTCCGAGCACAATTCAAAGTGTTGGTGCTGACCTTTAAAGCCCTAAACGGCCTCGGTCCTGTATACCTGAAGGAGGGTCTCCACCCCCATCGTTCAGCCCGGATGCTGAGGTCCAGCTCCGAGGGCCTTCTGGCGGTTCCCTCATTGCAAGAAGTGAGGCTACAGGGAACCAGGCAGAGGGCCTTCTCGGTAGTGGCACCCGCCCTGTGGAACGCCCTTCCAGCAGATGTCAAAGCGATAAACAACTACCTGACATTCAGAAGACATCTTAAGGCAGCCCTGTTCAGGGAAGTTTTTAACGTGTGATATTTTACTGTATTTTTGGGTTCTATGGAAGCCGCCCAGAGTGGCTGGGGAGGCCCACCCAGATGGGCGGGGTAGAAATAAATTATTGTTATTATTATTATTATTATTGTTATTTATTTATTTATTTAAAGTGGATTATTTTACAGGATGTTGGTTGCACAAGCGAACACTGTATTTGCAGAACCTGGGAACAACCAGACCTGACCCTGCACACTCGTACGCAGACTGTCCCCACTCCTCCCCAAGGAAAAGAGCGATGGGGGGGGGTACTGCTGGTTTTGACCTACAAAGGCGTACACAGCTCAGGACCCCAATGCCTCAAGGACCGCCTCTCCCCATGTGAACCAGCCTGGACCCCGCAACCATCATTCAAGGCCTTTCTTTGTGTTCCCGCTCAATGAAAGGTCCACAGGGTGGTGACACGAGAACGGGGCCCTTTCAGTGGTGGCTCCTCACAAGATGCTCTCCTGGCATCATTACTCCATATCTTCTGGCAGGCACCAAAAAAACCATTCCTTTTTAACCAGGCCTTTGACTTTTAAGTCTCTATGGCCTTTTTGCATGGATGGGACGCTTTAGTGTAAAATAAAATACGGTCAAACCTTGGTTCCCGAACGGCTTAGTTGCTGAACAAATCAGCTCCCAAACGCCATAAGTGTTCCGGTTTGCAAACATTTTTTGGAAGGTTTTCAAACGGTTTTGGGAGTCGAACAGACTTCTTGAACGGATTAAGTTCGAGAACCAAGGTACCACTCTAAATAAATTACATCATTCTCTTTTAGATTTTTTCAAAAGTTGGTTTTAAGGTATATATGTGATTGCTTAAAATACGGCAAGTTGCTTTTGAGCAGCAAAAAAAAGGTGAATAATAAATGCAATTAACAATAATAATACCCCCATCTTAAGGCAGCTTTCTCCAACCTGGTCCCCTCGGCTGAAACCAGTGTGGCCCTGTGACGCTGAGGCTGATGGGAGTTGTAGTCCAACACGCAGGGCAGCAGGTTGTGGAAAGGTGACCTGAGGCTTCCTGAGCTCGCTCATGCTCACGTGCACACAAACATGCCTACCTCTCAGGGCTGAAGTTAGCGGGGGCTCTGATCAGCACCAGCTGCTTCGAGGGGCTCCGGAGCGACTCAGGGCTGAGGGGCGGCCCAGGGGCAAACGGGCTGGCAGCAAACTCCTCCGGGCACTCAAAACGCAACGGTCCTGGGGGAGGGGAGAGATTGGAGAGGTCAGTAAATAGCTCCCAGTATTATGGCAAGTAAGGGTGGCGCTGTGGGTTAAACCACAGAGCCTAGGACTTGCCGATCGGAGGGTCAGCGGTTCGAATCCCCGCGACGGGGTGAGCTCCCATTGCTCGGTCCCTGCTCCTGCCAACCTGGCAGTTCGAAAGCACGTCAAAAGTGCAAGTACAGTGGTACCTCGGGTTACATACGCTTCAGGTTACATTCGCTTCAGGTTACAGACTCCGCTAACCCAGAAATAGTGCTTCAGGTTAAGAAGTTTGCTTCAGGATGAGAACAGAAATCGTGCTCCGGCGGCGCGGTGGCAGCAGGAGGCCCCATTAGCTAAAGTGGTGCTTCAGGTTAAGAACGGACCTCCAGAACGAATTAAGTACTTATCCTAACGTACCACTGTAGATAAATAGGTACCACTCTGGCAGGAAGGTAAACAATGTTTCCGTGCGCTGCTCTGGTTTGCCAGAAGCAGCTTAGTCCTGCTGGCCACATGACCCGGAAGCTGTACGCCGGCTCCCTCGGCCAATAAAGCGAGATGAGCACCGCAACCCCAGAGTCGGTCACGGCTGGACCTAATGGTGAGGGGTCCCTTTACCTTTACTATTAAGGCAAGTTCTTAAAGAAATGGGAGTGCCTGACTACCTCATCTGTCTCCTGAGAAATCTCTATGTGGGACAAGAAGCTACAGTTAGAACTGGATATGGAACAACTGATCAGTTCAAAATTGGGAAAGGAGTACGACAAGGCTGTATATTGTCTCCCTGCTTATTTTACTTATATGCAGAATTCATCATGCGAAAGGCTGGGCTGGATGAATCCCAAGCCGGAATTAAGATTGCCGGAAGAAATATCAACAACCTCAGATATGCAGATGACACAACCTTGATGGCAGAAAGTGAGGAGGAATTAAAGAGCCTTTTAATGAGGGTGAAAGAGGAGAGCGCAAAATATGGTCTGAAGCTCAACATAAAAAAACCCTAAGATCATGGCCACTGGTCCCATCACCTCCTGGCAAATAGAAGGGGAAGAAATGGAGGCAGTGAGAGATTTTATTTCTTGGGCTCCATGATCACTGCAGATGGTGACAGCAGTCACAAATTAAAAGACGCCTGCTTCTTGGGAGAAAAGCAATGGCAAACCTAGACAGCATCTTAAAAAGCAGAGACATCACCTTGCCAACCCAGGTCCGTATTGTTAAAGCTATTGTTTTCCCAGTAGTGATGTATGGAAGTGAGAGCTGGACCATAAAGAAGGCTGATCGCCGAAGAATGGATGCTTTTGAATTATGGTGCTGGAGAAGACTCTTGAGAGTCCCATGGACTGCAAGAAGATCAAACCTCTCCATTCTGAAGGAAATCAGCCCTGAGTGCTCACTGGAAGGACAGATCCTGAAGCTGAGGCTCCAAGACTTTGGCCACCTCATGAGAAGAGAAGACTCCCTGGAAAAGACCCTGATGTTGGGAAAGATGGAGGGCACAAGGAGAAGGGGATGACAGAGGACGAGATGGTGGGACAGTGTTCTCGAAGCTACCAGCATGAGTTTGACCAAACTGGGGGAGGCTGTGGAAGACAGGAGTGCCTGGCGTGCTCTGGTCCAGGGGGTCACGAAGAGGCGGACACGACTAAACAACAACATGGTTTCCCCAGTAGTGATATATGGAAGTGAGAGCTGGACCATAAAGAAGGCTGATCGCCGAAGAATGGATGCTTTTGAATTCTGGTTCTGGAGGAGACTCTTGAGAGTCCCATGGACTGCAAGAAGATCAAACCTCTCCATTCTGAAGGAAATCTTGAAGCTACCAGCATGAGTTTGACCAAATTGCAGGAGGCAGTGGAAAACAGGACAGGAGTGCCTGGCGTGCTCTGGTCCAGGGGGTCACGAAGAGGCGGACACGACTAAACATCAGGGAGACCTTGCAGGCCCTTTGGCATCAGGACCACAGGGCCCCCTCTGCTCCACGCCCTCCGCAGGTACACTGCCCTTGCACATGGAGGCTCCACTCTGCTTCCACCCTCCCTGCAGCTGCCTCGCCCCCTTCTTAGGCTCCTCCTGGGAAACGGGGGCCGAAAAATCTGCTCGCCTCCCCTTCTCCGCTCACCCTCCGGGGCTCCGCTCCGGCCGCCGCCGCCCGGCACCTCCATGGCTGCAGCGCCCACGTGGAGCTCCTGGCAACCGCTGCCGCTTCCGGGTTCTCACCGGAGGCGGGGAGGCACTTGGTACGCTCCACGCTCTCTCGGCCGGGTGACGTCAGCGGCGTCCCCCGGGCAGAGCACAATGGTACCTTCCCGGCCCTTAAAGGGGAAACGAGCTCGCCTTTTCCCCTTTGTTTTTTGTCCGCCGACATCAATGGGGTTTTTCTATAGAGTGCGGCCGTTGTTCCAAACGGGGGTTGGCAGCAGGGAGATTCAGCAGGGGGGCAGCACAAAGGATGGGGAGGGACGGTCAGTGCATCATGCTGCTAACCAGAAGGTTGCTGGTTCGAGCCCACCTAGGGATGGCTGTGGTGGTCAGGATTCCTGCCTTGCAGCGGGTTGAGCTAGATGACCCTGGGGGAGCCCTTCCAACTCTACAATTCCATGCTCCTGAGTCGATGGGCTTAGGATTGGGTCTTCTCCATGCGTCGTCCCCCCCCCCCCGGTTTGTCTGGGCTCTTAAGTTATACAGTGGTACCTCAGGTTACATACTCTTCAGGTTACAGACTCCGCTAGTTGAGGCTCCAAGACTTTGGCCACCTCATGAGAAGAGAAGACTCCCTGGAAAAGACCCTGATGTTGGGAAAGATGGAGGGCGCAAGGAGAAGGGGACGACAGAGGACGAGATGGTGGGACAGTGTTCTCTAAGAGTCCAGCATGAGTTTGACCAAACTGCGGGAGGCAGTGGAAGACAGAAGTGCCTGGCGTGCTCTGGTCCAGGGGGTCACGAAGAGTCAGACACGACTAAACGACTAAACAACAACAACTTCATTTTATCTTCTGACATTCAGCTTCACGGGATGCCCATGGGTTTCTCTCTGCTCTTTCTCCATGCCGTGCATAACGCTGCAAACTTCTATCATGTTGCTTCTTCCTCCCCTTTTCTCTAAACTAAAGATAAAGGGACCCCTGACCATTAGGTCCAGTCGTGGCCGACTCTGGGGTTGCGGCGCTCATCTCGCTTTACTGGCCGAGGGAGCCGGCATACAGCTTCCGGGTCATGTGGCCAGCATGACTAAGCCGCTTCTGGCGAACCAGAGCAGCGCACAGAAACGCCGTTTACCTTCCCGCCGGAGCGGTACCTATTCATCTACTTGCACTTTGACATGCTTTCGAACTGCTAGGTTGGCAGGAGCAGGGACCGAGCAATGGGAGCTCACCCCGTCGCGGGGATTTGAACCGCCGACCTTCTGATCGGCAAGCCCTAGGCTCTGTGGTTTAGACAGTCCCAAAAGCTGCAACCTTAACTCTGTTATATATCCAGGGGCTCAAAGGGAAATGAAGCATCTCTGAGTTTCCCCAACTCACTTATACAGTGGTACCTCAGGTTAAGAACTTAATTCGTCCTGGAGGTCCGTTCTTAACCTGAAACTGTTCTTAACCTGGAGACCACTTTAGCTAATGGGGCCTCCCGCTGCCGCCGTGCTATTTCTGTTCTCATCCTGAAGCAAAGTTCTTAACCCCAGGTACTATTTCTGGGTTAGTGGAGTCTGTAACCTGAAGCATATGTAACCTGAAGCGTAAGTAACCTGAGGCGTATGTAACCCGAGGTACCACTGTGGTGATGTATGGAAGTGAGAGCTGGGCCATAAAGAAGGCTGATCACCGAAGAATTGATGCTTTTGAATTCTGGTCGGGAGGAGACTCTTGAGAGTCCCATGGACTGCAAAAACGAAGAGCGCATGGTTAAACTGCGGAACTCCCTGCCACAGGAGGCTGTGATGCTTCTGAATCCCAGTTGCTGGAGGGGAGAGTTGCTCTCGCTCTCGGATCCTTCTTGTGGCATCTGGTTGCCACTGTGAGAACAGGATGCTGGTCTACATGGGCCCTTGCCCTGATCCAGCAGGCTCTTCTCATGTGCTTATGTTCTTAAATGTATTAATAAGGGTCAAAATCAATTCAAGTGGGGTAAAGGTAAAGGTACCCCTGCCCGTACGGGCCAGTCTTGACAGACTCTAGGGTTGTGCGCTCATCTCACTCAAGAGGCCGGGAGCCAGTGCTGTCCGCAGACACTTCCGGGTCACGTGGCCAGCGTGACAAGCTGCATCTGGCGAGCCAGCGCAGCACATGGAAACGCCGCTTACCTTCCCGCCAGTAAGCGGTCCCTATTTATCTACTTGCATCCGGGGGTGCTTTCGAACTGCTAGGTTGGCAGGCGCTGGGACCGAGCAACGGGAGCGCACCCCGCCGCGGGGATTCGAACCGCCGACCTGACAATCGGCAAGCCCTAGGCGCTGAGGTTTTACCCACAACGCCACCCGCGTCCCCATAAAGTGGGGTTAGTTATTTACTATTTAAAGTTAGTGTTCAGTCAGGCTTCGTGGCCAAAGCGAAGCAGAGAGGCTGATGCTTTTGCTGCGTGTGCTTGTGGGTAATGCATGAAGATTCTGATCAACTCTAATGAACAGGGTCGTGACCCTTGGTTAATCCAAAGGAAAAGGAGAGTGATCTTGCATATTAATTGCGGTATATAATTTGTGATCCATATGCACCCTGCAATTCTACTTTACGCCACTGGGTGTCACTGTTGCATTGCCAGTTGGTGCTTCCAAATGTAAAAAAATAACGTGAATTTTAATCCGTTTAGTATTTTAATTTGTATGTTTTAAAGCATTGTTGTTTCCCCTCGATTTTATTGTTTTGTCTTTTGTAAGGCAGCTTTGAGGGTTGTTTTTTTTACTTCCAAGCGGATGGTATAATTTTTTTACGAGTAAATGAGTTTTAAAAAATGAATTTTTGCAGCAGAAAAAAAAAAGATTTATGCACAGCTGGGTGTGCAACAGTATGATTCTCAGCAGACGGTTAATTTTAACTTAAATTAAGCAATGTGAGCAGCGGAGGCAGGAGAGGCAGGAACCAACCAGAACTAAATCGGTACGGCCTTAGAGCATAAAGGTACCCTGCCCGTACGGGCCAGTCGTGTCTGACTCTAGGTTGCTGCTCATCTCGCTTAAGAGGCCGGGGGCCAGCGCTGTCCTTGAGAACACTTCCGGGTCACGTGGCCAGCGCCCATGACGAATGCATCTGGCGAGCCAGCGCAGCCACGGGAAACGCCGTTTACCTTCCCACTATAAAGCGGTACCTATTTACTACTTGCATTGAGGTGAGCTTTCGAACTGCTAGGTGGGCAGGAGCGGACCGGAAAGACGGGAGCTCACCCTGCTCTGGGGATTCGACCGCCGACCACACGATCAGCAAGTCCTAGGCACTGAGGTTTTACCCCCAGCGCCACCCACCGTCAACTAGGAGCATAGCTGTCAACTTTTCCCTTTCTTGCGAGGAATCCTATTTGGAATAAAGGGAGACGTTGACAGCTATGCTTAGAGGATCAGACCTAAGTGCTCCCACCTCCCTCAGAGCCCAGTACCCTCTTTCTCTCATTGCCCAGCCAGACACCCCAGTGGGGTCCCCATAAGGCAAAAGGCCTCTCCAGGGTTTATTCATCTTTTACGCCCAGCAACTCGGGACGTGTGCAACCATTGATATCTATCAAGCTCAGCTGGGAGCAATGGCTGTCCAGTGCTCCGGGGTAGGAATCTTTCTCAGCTCTTATTTATTTCACAAAATCTATATACCACTTGATTGTTTAAAATAAAAAAATCAGCAAGAACTTCCAAATGGTTTACAAAAGGGGGAAAAACAACAAAATCAAGCGAAATTTACAAATGGTTTAAAACATACAAAACCTTAAAATACTAAAATGTAAAGTTCGCACCAACTTTCTAAGCATCTGGACAGGCCTGTCTAAACAAGGACATTTTTTGCAGTCAGCAAAAAGAGCACAGGGAAGTTGCCTGCTTGATGTAAATAGGCAGGGAGTTCCAAAGTGTGGGAATGTTCAGCGTGGCAGGAGAGGATATATTGTTTATTAGTATCCTAATATTAGGTCCGTATAGTTAAAGCTATGGTTTTCCCAGCAGTGATGTATGGAAGCGAGAGCTGGACCATAAAGAAGGCTGATCGCCGAAGAATTGATGCTTTTGAATTCTGGTGCTGGAGGAGACTCTTGAGAGTCCCATGGATTGCAAGAAGATCCAACCTCTCCATTGTGAAGGAAATCAGCCCTGAGTGCTCACTGGAAGGACAGATCCTGAAGCTGAGGCTCCAAGACTTTGGCCACCTCCTGAGAAGAGAAGACTCCCTGGAAAAGAGCCTGATGTTGGGAAAGATGGAGGGCACAAGGAGAAGGGGGCGACAGAGGACGAGATGGTGGGACAGTGTTCTCGAAGCTACTAGCATGAGTTTGACCAAACTGCGGGAGGCAGTGGAAGACAGGAGGGCCTGGTGTGCTCTGGTCCAGGGGGTCACGAAGAGTTGGACACGACTAAACGACTAAACAAAGTATCCTTCCTAATTTGCATTAGCCAGTTCCTTTACTTAGCAGAGTTTACATCCCCCTTTTTACATGCACAGCAGATAGCTGGTTGCAGGCTCGTGTGAGCCTCTCACTATTATACGATTCAGTCCGTCTCAGATTGAATTGTACGTTCCTGGTAAGTTCCCTTGAATCCCTCTTAAAAGAATAAAGACGCCACAATCTTATTCAAAGTCAATAAAAGAAGTTTACTTACATCAGTTCACAGTTGGATCCCTGAAGGCAGACTTAGTTACCAATATGTACATGTGGATCTACCCCTTATGGGGGAATAATCCCAGTGCTTCTGCTAGCTGAGAGCTAGCAGAGTCCTAGCCAAAAGCTGGTCAAATCAAGAAGGAAGTAAAAAAGAGAGAGAGAGTGCTGTGTGACTCGTCCTTTTGTTACCTGGACAGGTGAGGTCACGCCCACCTTCTGTCACATGCAAAAGGAAGGATGCTCCAGCCAGGAGAAACAGGAAGTTTCGACCGGCTGGACCAAACCATCCCCTCGCATGTCTTCTCTAGCATTATAAGAAATGTTGTACTTGTCTGCTTCTCATGGATCACATCCCACACAAAGTTCATGTGCTACCACTCTTAAGTCGTGTCCGTTCCACCAACTGAATAGGTCGAGTGGGCACATATGGGGCAAGACTGGTCCC